GGACTTCAACTCCCAGAATTCTGGGAGTTGAAGTCCACACATCTTAAAGTTGCTAAGGTTGGAAACACTGCCTTATACAGCACTAGTGCAAGCTATAATAAAACTGAAAGCTTCATTCTGTGGAAGACACTGTCACCTTGTGGACAAAGGTCTACCCTGACAGGCTCTCTTTTAAAACCTGTTCAAGGCAAACCTTGCAATCTTGGACTTGCTTACTCAGAAAAAAAACTGAGTTCAATGGGCTGAGGCCAAATAACAGAAGCCAAGCTTAAACAGGAACAAACAAAAAATAAGAGCAAGGGCTATAAGCATGCTATAACATACACTGCGTGCTTTTCTTTTGGGAAACTGACAACCGAAATGACCCTTCAGAAAATGGAAATGCTTGTCATTTTCAATGTACTATCTATTGTAAGAATTTTAATACAGTAGTATTAAAGTTTTACCATCTTAGATGATGCACCCTCCCTATTCACTAGGCCTTAGCAGCATTATTAAACCAATGCCATCTAAGTGTTAAGCAGTTCTCTGCGTGCCTCTGACATTTTATTGAGCAAGAGTACACAGTATTTTTAAAGTATGCATTTCTAGTCCTCATGGTCCCAGCGAAGAACTGAAGGACTCAGGCAAGGAAGCAGTAAGGTATTTATTCTTTTAAGACTATGCTCTTCAAGATTTTGTTGAAGCCAGCAAATCAATTTAAAGAAATAAAGAATTTTACTAGCAAGTGTATGAAAGCAAAGGTTGTTGATTTGAACCAGCCACGAGCATAGGAGCCCCTAGCAGCCACTTAATTTCCAGCACAATCTCCTGGGTGAGATTGGACTAGATTTTCTCTGAGGTGCCTCTCAATCCCATGGATGATCCACATACATTCCCTAATGGGAGCTTGAACATGGCTCGCTACCTGTTCTTTAAGGACACGTCCTCACCGCATCTATAGCTGAGGCTGTCTAACTTCATATTTAATTGATCCAATGTTAGAACAGTTGTTCCATTATCTCCTGGCACAACCTTGCTGTACGCGTGATTTCTGGTGCTTTGGGAGCAACCATGGTGATGCTGCTGCTGCCGCCAGGAGCTGGGATCTAACTAGCTTCCATTGGCTGCTTTCTGCTGCAGGGTACATGCTTCCTCTTCTCCCCACCCCCTAATTCAGTGTTGTCCAAACTTGGCCACTTTAAGATGAGTGGACTTCAACTCCCAGAATTCCCCAGCCAGCCATGTCCACTCATCTTAAAGTGGCCAAGTTTGGACAACACTGCCCTAATTACTGCCCACTGCTCTCCATGGCCATTTTGGTTCATGCTAGTGGACTGACGTGACTCCCGGATTCTACTGGCAGCTGCCCGCATAATGATGTTTTCCAAAGCACAAATCAGATGTTGCATGTGTTCCTTACTAACATTGCTCTTGTGAGAAAGTGCTAGAGATTTCTTTCTTTCTTTTTAGAATATCTCTTTAGAAACAGGAATAGAGGAGCAGTAACAGCATGATTACCAACAACTTGTTCTCCACTACTGTTCCCTTTAAAGGCAGCGGGAGCAGTGGGAGCAGTGGTGGACGTCAATCTTCAGAGCCATCAGGCGAAAAAGGGTGCCTGAGGATGCAATGAAAGAGGACAAACTCAGCCAGTGTCTCCTTCATACTTCTCCCACACTGCACCTCTGATCTGTTAACTTGCTTTTCAATTTTGGACACGTGTCTACTCCTCTCCTGAAATAACACAGGATGTGAGTTCAGAGCTAGTCCAAATGACAGCACTTCTGGGCTGATGTACTGCCATTAGGACAACTTGAAAGACGGACACAGGGCATTTGTTTTGTTTTCAACATGATGATTAAACTGTCAACATGGTGGTAATAGCTTCTGGTGGAGGAAGAATGCCAGCTTTCTGACTTGCAGTTTCTCATCACCCAAGAAAGGCCCACTACAATGTTTAGGAGAGTGATGTGTGATGGCTTGTCCAGCTCAGGAGGTGGAGCAATGCTGGTGGGAGGGAAAGGCAACAGCCAATCGCCGCCCTTAACTTGGCCCTCATTAAAATAGTCAGGGCAACACCACTTGCCAGGCTCATTGCTGAGGTGAAATAAAGATTAGCTGTCAAGACAGAGCGAAATATACCGCACGAAGCAGCTGTCCGAATGAGTCCTACATGAGCTGCCTGCGCTCAGCACTATGGGACGGTGGTCGGTCAAAAAACACAACCTTCCACACGAAGAAAGATGGGCATTTGAGCTGATCACCACAAGCCAACAATTTAACTCTTAAGGAACAAGTCAATTGTTTCAGGGACATTAGCAAGAATAGCATCTTCTGATTTATTCTGCAATATCCTCTAAAGCCAGCTAAATTGTAACTATGGTCAGAAAGTGCCCAGCTCTCCCCAGTGAAATCTAATAAAGTAGGTATAGCAAAATTCTGATAATCACATGAAGCGTTCTGTCTTCTACCAGACATTTCTGGTGAAAGGCAGGATGCTTTTCACATGTGACAGCTAACCATGTTCTTTCTATAAGCCATAATAGTCTGATTCGCATCTAGTTAGACCTTAGAGCACCCCTTCCCATTCCCTATGCCACTTTCCAAAACATCAACCAAAATGCACAGTTGCATGAAGAGCAAGATGCCAATTTAATTAACAGCCACAAACAGTAGCTACATTCATTTCTATCTGACATATGAAGGCTGGCAGACAATTCAGTATTCAAAAATCTGAAGAGAAGAATACATTTCCAAGTGTTATATTTCCATTAAGATAAACAGGAAATAGATACAGGAAGAAAGGGGTAGTAATGTATGTAAGATTGATCAAGAAACAAAAAGTTGCATCTGCTCAACCACAACAAAGGAAAGTTTAATATGAAATGGGGGAGGGAGGGGTTTAATTAAACTGACAACCGAAATGACCCTTCAGAAAATA